GGGCCGTCCCTCTCTGGCGGGACGGGGGGTGTGAAGCGGCGGCGGGTCCCGCTGGGCGGCTGTGCCCCTGCCGGCCGATGGCGAGCGGTGTGGTGTCGGAGGGACGGTCTCTGGGCGGGCGTAGTGCCAGCGGTGGGGCCTCTGCCGTGCTGCCAGAGCGGGCCTGCTCCTCCCGGATGGGCTGTGGCGGGAACTGTCACGTAGAGGATGGTAACATCCAAAATAATGAGTGTCCAAAACCAGTATTTAAAAGTTGAGGTTTTTTTATAGGTTCTGAGTGTCCCTTTAGGCCTACAGAGATCAGCCATCATGATTCTATGGCCATTACTGCTGTCTGCTGCCATCCCAGCTCAGATACAGAGGTAACTGAACTGCTGTCTTTCATAATGAACTTTTGGAGCTATAGAGTAACTTGGTGAGTGAGGTCTGCAGGGACCAAGGCTCTCCACACTTCCCATCTGTTTTCAGCTAACTGATATTGGAGGCTGCGTTGGTATTTTGTGGTCCTGTAAGAGTCTTGTGTTGCTGTCCTCTAAAAGCAGTCACTGAGAGCTGCAGTGCTCTCAGGGGTGAGTTGTGGTATCATTTCTCTCCTTCTGTGGTGCCTGGGCAGGGAATTACTTATGTACAAGGACTTTCTTAAAGGGAACTTGAAAAACCGTGAAAATACGTTTTATATTCATTTTGCTTTGGTTGGTTTTAAGTGGAATCATAAAAAATTGTCTTCTAGAAAGTCTTAAGTTACTTTTACTTTGGTGATGACCCACTGGATGTAAATGATGGCATAATATTTTCCTCAGAGCATTTATGAGTCCAGCTTATTATCGTTTTGCCTCACTAGCTTTGTGAGCGTAAACACTAACAGAAACACTCTCACTGGTGGTGGTTGGAAATCTGTCAGCCACGTGAAAAGGCTGAGCACCTCAGTGGTGTCTTATCTGGCTGTTGATAAAGACTATAGCAGATATTAGCACTAGAATATTTCACTGAATCACAAGACCGGAGTCTGAGAAGTAGATGTTTTCTTACGTACTACAACTATACTCTTGTAGTTGGTGAGACCTTAAATTGAACCCTGAGCAGTTAGATGTTACTCTGAAAGATGGACTGCTGTGCATAGCCCTTGGAGATTTCTGCATCCTGAAAGTATCAAAAGTTGTAATTGGCACTAGGCTATGTATACTTCTGTTGGTTTGTTGATGTGCAGATCTCCTGCTGATGTCTTTTATTTTGCTGTGGCTTTTAGGTTTACTTCTGAACAGATACAGTTGTCTTAAAGCTGGTTTTTATTCAAGCTTTCATGATTTGTGACACATAAAAGCTGAACCTACACTAGGAAAAAATTCCAAGAGCAATAACCCTTGAGATACTCAAGTAAATTGTAATTCCTTTATTGCTTGTAATGTAAAACTTCTTGGGCCATTCAAAATGCTTTAATTTCCCTGATTTTTTTTTTTCCAAGTAGCTTTTACTCTCTTCTGTACAATTCTGTTGACTGGAGACTAGATAAGGTAAATGAGACAAGACAATGTCATCATACTAAAACTATGAATTGAATAAACGGTTTCTTAGGGTTAGTGTATCTGCTAATAATCCTTGATATCTTTTTCTGCCAACACCTGTGAAGCCTTAAAATTAACAACTTAAGCAAAAGGGCCTAGTGTACATCTGGATTGCTTGATAGCGCAGCAGTCATTGGATGAAATGTGCTTTGTCAGCCTGGAATGATATCTCACGTATGTCTTTTTGAGGTGCAAGGGATGCATCTTTGAGTTGAGGATCTTTGGTGTCTATTTCTGGTTCTCACAGCTGTACTTTGAGCATAATGTGAGAGCATCTGTTAGCAGCATCTGCTATCAGAGATAATTAGGATGGGTCACTTGTTTCTTAGTTTGATTGCATTTCCGCCCTTCTCCTGCGTGTTTTCTTCTACATAATCTCTTCTCCGGCTCATTTTCCTCTAAACATTCCCTCCCTCTTGAGGCAAAGTGTTACTTCAGAGATACTGTGTTAATGGTTTAGACTGTTAAAAATTCAGTCTTTTTGAATTTACTAATCCTGTATTGTTATAAATCTGTTTATTGTAGTAACTACCTTCCAAGTTTGAAGAGTATTATCCTAACTTACATTTAGTGATATGAGGATAGTGTTTAATGCTTTATATTCCTTTTCTAAGTAGATTTTTGGAAGCTTAAATCTTATTAAGAAACTGTCGTCTTTTTTTTTCTTCATTCAATCTCATTTTCCTGAGAAGTGTTATTTATACACAGAATTACTGGGTTTTTTTGTAAGGAGATACATATTCAGGGCTTCTTGGTTTAGACAACACAAAAAATCCATTCAGAATTTTTTTCTTCATTACGTTTTTTTTTGTAGCAGGTCAAAGACAAGCTTTATCAAATAGCAGTATCTTCAGTAGAAAAGAGAAAGCCTTTTGTTGGACATCTGAGCATAATCCATAGGATCATCTCTACATAATAAATGCATAGTGTAGAAATACATGATTTGTGTGTGATGTAATAGAAGATCCATTTTCACTTCTTAGAGTTGTAATTTGAAACTTGTTCTGCCACATTAAATATAAGTTATGGCTTGAAATGCTAAAAACTTTTTGCGTTTTGGTAGTCCGTAAAGCTAATTTGTCTTCCTCTGCTCTTTCTGGAATTGAAGTGAGTGAGGTTTTTATGTACTTCTAGGTACTTAGGACAACAGTAGTAAAACTCACCCTCTTATTCCTTGTAGCACTTAAGAAGACAGCCTTCTTACATCCAACATATTTCTTTTTTTTTTAATTTATCACATTTAGTGTAGAGAACCCAAGACTGAAAGCTGAACTTGTTTCTTTCCTTTTGGATGTAGCAGTGTCATCTCGCTGTGGGTAGACAGACCTTGAGAGGCAGTGAGGCCGCTGTTCCTGTCTGGCTGGTCACTCCCCATGGGTACGTCCCCATCTCCCTCCCTGGTTGGTAGCTGCCACTGCTGAATAGTGTTGCCCAAAGGTGTTAATACCAGCAGCGATGGGCGCAAAGCACAGGTGGACAGGTTGTGCTGCTGTTACAGCTACATTCATATGGCTGACAGCTTTCTGGAAGTTGGCATCTGGTCACTTGTTTGAACTTTTCTGTTCGGGATGTAGGTTTTCAGTAGGGTCTGTCTTAGAGACTGTAATTGAAAAATGTGCTTAATTTAGAGCATGTAAGTGATGTACAAGTGCCATATCTTATTATGGAAAGAAATGAAATATTAACAGAAGTCACTTTAGATCTTTCAGGTTGCTGATGCTTAATGAAGGCACCTCCTACTGTTCGGTGTAAACTGTTCAGGACCTCTTTACTCAATGCGAAATGGGTGAAGCAAAAGCTTTAGATGGATCTTGTGTAAGCAGAAATCTTGGCTTAAAATGCCCCACTGTGGTTGCAGATTTTTGCAATGACTGTTGTGATGTTAGTGTAGTTTTTCAGGCTTTAATTAAGCACTGTCGGGAGGAACTGGCTGAGCAGCTGTACAGTGTATCGAGGCATTCAGGAGGTTAGGCAAACCCAAAGAAGGAAACATGACCTTTTCACATCTCCCTAGAGTTTGTTAATGAAAGAGTGCTAAAGGAGAAACAGTACCTCACTTTTTTGATATAAGGACACTCTTTAAAAAACAAATGTAGTATGAAAATCTATTAAATGTGCTTATTTTATCATTGTTTAACGCTTTGAATTATTCTAGCTTTTAAAAGACTTTTCTAGTAACACATACCTAACCTCCTATTCTTGCCTCTTTTAGTGTAAAGCCTTACAAATCATGTCAGAGGAGTCATTCTTCCCAAGATGATTATTCAAAGGATTTTGAAGGTCTGAATAGGTAAGAAACTTTCAGTAGCATAAACAGAAATTATTCTAAGGCTTTGAGCATCCTATGTGTTTAACAGAAAAGTATTTCTAATGCTGTAGCAGGAATATACATTACTTTTGAGTCATTTGGTCATATAAATAGATAAAACATTTAAGAAAAATATCTCATGCCTCAAAGCCTACCAAATTTTAGACCCTGCTCTTTGAGATTGAGCGTCAAAGCACTGTCTCTTATGGGTACCTGGCTACTGACTTTACATCTGTGGCAAAAACTATGGATGTTCTTGTAGTGATTTAAATCAGCAACTTTTATGGTGTTCAGGCTTGATTCTAGATACTTATTTTCTGAAAAGTTTGTCCCATATCATGGTTTGCTTCAAGAGCAAACAGGGCTTTTCTCCTCTTTTTCAGAATGCATATGTGCATATTTTATCTGTTCTGGAATCTTCTTGCAATTTTTGAGGATTTTGTAACTAGTTACCTTTTCCTTAAATATTTTTTTCTTACTGTTAGTGGTAAGGAAAACTTACTCTTCACTAGAAACTAAATCTAGCTATATAGAAGATGCTCAGTGCATAATCAAATTGCCTGGAAATTACTATTTTCTAACTTCTTGGTTCTCACAGCTTATACTTATAAAAATAAACTTGAAGAAAAGCTCTCAAGAGTTTTAACATCTAACTCAGCTCAAGCTATGGTTAAATAAATTTCATGTTATTAATTTGTTATTCATACAGTTTAGAAAAAAATTGGAATGGGATTAGGTGATGTGGTCCTTTAAGAACCTTTGTCATAGTGACTCTATGGAAGATAAGCAAGGCATTTTAAGGAACTAGTAGGGTGTTAAAAGAATGAGATGCACAGCTTGACAGGGATATCATTGCAATGAGCACAAAACTAACTTGGTTTAGGTTTTTACCTGTTTTTTAATAGGTTGGCCTTCTGTTTGCAACTTAATCTCTCACCTGAGATACAAAGTATTTTTCGTTTCATTTTCCATCTCTGAATGGGTTTTCTTGGCTTAAATTGTTACTCAAAATTTATCTTTAAATGTAAGAATAACCATAGGAAATACTTGTCCATTTTTGTGACTATTACAAATAGTTACAACAAATAATCATCGACTACTGCTGATTATTTTCCAATCTGTAGAATAGGAATAAAAATACATGGGTATAAAAAATAGGGGTATGATATGAAGCTTTATTTCACCCCTTCTATCTTGTCTGTTTACCAATGATCTTGTAAGTGTTAACAAAACAAAGTAGGAGAGTGGTTTTCAAAATAGGATACCTTAATTTCAAGAGCAAAAGGACCTTACTAAGATATATACTCTCTTTAGCAATTTGACTGGCTCGTCCACAGATGTCCGATGTAGGTGTAGTGCTGCAGTAATCTTTTGCCAAAATGTGTTTTTTTGAAGTGCAGCTGGTGATTTTGCCAGTTGTTTTAAGTAGCCTAATTTTGATTAAGTCTTTGAATTTGTAAGCTAAAAGAAAAGCTCCAGTGCTGAAGAAGGTAGTCTTCTAAAGAAGGCTAAATTATTTAAAATCTGGGGTTAAAACATTGTGCCAGGCTTATGTGCCTTTTACCCTTCTAGGAAAGCACAAAATAGATTTCAAAAACCTCATCTTATTAGCCTGGTCTATATTTAGTGAAAGGATACTTCATATCCCCATGAAATATGGAGAACTTATGTGGTGAGATAACTGGGAATGCTGGGAGGAACAGACAATGCAGAACAGCAAGAAAAGTAACTAGCTGCTAATGCAAAATGAGCCTGTATGAGTTTTGGGAAACAGTCTTCTGTATCACTTCAGTCTTGGTGAAACATATACATTCAATTAACAGCACTCCCTTGCACTTAGTATTCTGAAAATTGGCGTGTCTGATTTATTTAAATCCTCTTGTAAGTATGGAAGAAAAAATTTTGCATGAACTGGCCTTTCATTTTAACTTGGAGAATTCAAAACATATTTTCTCCTTAGCTTTGAAGAGCTATTTGGGCAGCAACATGAGCATTTGAGAGCGAAAGAAGATTAGTACAAGGTGCTAGTACTCCTAAAAAGGTAAGAATTGTAACTAGCTCCTATTCGTTCTTAGAGCATGCACTTTCATCTGTAGTTGACAGACAAATTCATAATGTCCCTCAGTGTCCCTTCAAGGCTGAGTGGTGGTAGCCTTAAATCGTTATAGAAACATCATAACTCTTTTGTTATCTTTGAGAGGTACCACTCTTTGGTGGATCTAGGGAACATGTTGAGGCTTGAGTCGCTGAACGATGCTCAGAAAAATTGTGGTGTAGATTACTGAATAAGCCTGTTTGTGCTTTGTGGCTTCAAAGCCAATAGAAAGAAAGATTCACTCTTATTGCAGCAAAAAGGCTCTCATGACTGGTTGGACAAAGAGTACCACGTCCCAGGGAAATCTGGCAAGTGTGCCCAGGTATAGCAGCACGCTTGGGAACATGAGTTGCATTTGAATATGTGGATGCAACCCAACAGAGTAATAAAATGTGGGAGTATGGCAGAAGCCCATTACTGAGGAGCTTGCATTACAGGCTATGTCAGGAGTAAGTGAAAAAGATCTCTGGTCTGCTCTTCTGCTGCAGCATTGTTGTGTATTGCTAGGGGTTTCTTGGGGTCCCAGCAGACCGGGTAGATGTTTCTCATAGGGCATTATGCTGGAACTTCAGGGAAGGCAGGTACTTTAAGAATTCATGTTGTTTACCAGAGATTCCTGTGGTGGAGGGGAAGAGGGTTTCATTGACTGAGATACGTATTTGCATTAGCAGTATGGGGAAATTTGCCCAATAAAAGAGAACTGGAATAATAGAAAGAAGCTGAGCGTAGGAATGTGAGAAGTAAGTTTAATCCTTAGTAGAACTCAATGGCAAAAACGCATAGGTACTTCTCTTCAGAGTAGAGAAGAATATTTATGAAAGTTTACTGTTATCATCTGGAGAAGTTGTTAATCCCATGATGTGTAGGACAAGTTAATGAATGGTGTGAATGTTGCAGCATGTGGGATGATCTGTGAGAAATAATTGCTAATTGAATTTCAGAATGACTTATGGATTTACCTGTGCTCTATCTAAGTTCTTCCAAGAAGTTATAAGGTGGATATTGCTTGATTAACCTGGTTTTTGCACAGGCAAGTCAGTGAGCAATAGTCCTGGAATTACATTCATTGCTTTACTCCTTTAAGACTGCTGGAAAGATTGTGAAGACTAATACAGAGAAATGTTCAGCAGAATGCTTTTCCTATTGTTTTTCCTATTGTTTTCACCTCTTAATTTGTTTTGACAAAGTCATGCCAATCAAATGCTGTATATCTATGTCCAAGATTTGAAACAGCCAGATATTGAAATAAGCAGAAGCAGAAGGTGTGGGTTGCAGTAGGCAGTAGATGGTCTGCCCAAGATTTGAAAAATTCAGCCAGATATGGAAATAAGCAGAAGTGGAAGGTATGGGTTGCAGTAGGCAGTAGATGGTCTGTATTGCTATCACCTTGCACCAAAGCATAATTCTGAAAAATTTGTTTACAGTATCATCTTTTCTGGCAGTTGGTGGGTTTATCTGGTGCTGAGGCTGTAGAGCAGGCTGTGACAGCAGGGCTTGCTGCTCAGGGCTCTGGCTCGTGAGTGCCCACTTATTTGGAATGGGGCTGTGAGATGTGACATGTGAGTAGGAACAAGGAGCTAGAAGTGCTTTGTGTTTGGGAATTAGTGGTGTGAACATACTACACTCAGCTCAAGAGAGGAGAATGAATGCTTACCCACAAAAAATCTCTTGGGTTGCTTAGGAAGTGCAAAACATCCTGTGAGGAAGAGCTGTGTATATTTTGCAGATCCAAAAAAAGGGAAGGTGGTTATATGTTGGAGATAAACAAGCAAGCTCATTTCTGGTGACTGCTACATTGGTGTATGTCCAGTGTGGGTATTTTTTCAACATGGCTCTTAAAGTATTTAGGAAAGGTGTTCTGTAACACAGCTGAAAAATGTTCCAATTTAGCTCCTACAGTCTGGCTATAGCGAGGAGGAAAAAAAAAAAAGCAGTCTGGTGGATTTTCCTAGTCTCTCTCTGCCTTCCCTTGGAGTGAGACTTGAGTCCCAGCATCAAAATGGAAGAAAGTTCAGAAGAGAATGGGACAAAAGTAATCCTCTGTGGGTTGGAATAGATGAATGGGCTGTTCTCAGTAGATCAATTCTGAGAAGTCTGCAGCCAAGTTTAACCATGTTCCTTATGCTTTCTTGCATGTCTTTCTTTTTCCCTGGGGAAATTTGTTGAAAGGAAAAAAAAAAAAAAACCTTGCTTCAAAGAATTATTTTTATCATTTTTGACAGTATTGTTAAGTGGTAAAGTAGTGAAGACTTGGTGATGTTCTAATACAGTTTTGCAGTCTGGGCTGTTGCTTAATTGATTTTTCACTTGGTTGCAGATGACTGCACCAGGGATGATTGCAGAGAGGAGTTATTCCTGCAGTTGTATCAACTGTTGCACAAAGAATAAGACACCTTCCGACTGTCATTGTTGCCATCGGCAAGGAGCAAAAGTAGGTTTCTATTAAGACTTCTTTCAGCTAATTCTATTACAGAGGTGGTAATTACATAGGTAAGCATAACCCAGTTCAGAAATGTGACCCTGCAAATATGTAGGTAAAGTTTGAAGACCATGCCTACTTAATGTTTCTGGATCTCCTTAATGCTTCTATTAGTCTTAACATTTCTTACGTGTCTCCCAGGCTTTGGAGTATTACAGCCATGAGGTTCTTTTGAAGAGGAAAAAAAAAAATTGACTTGAGAATTAAGTATCATCTTAATCCAATCATAATTTCTTTCTTGTTTTAAAGGCCATCTTGCAGCATTTGATTGGATTTTGTGGTCTCAATATAGACATACTAAAAGTAGTTTCAGATACTATTTTTGCCTGAGTAATCTTTGCAGGTTCTGATGCTTTCTAATTTGAAAGATTCCTTTCACAGTTGCCAACAGAAGGGAAAATGGAAGTTGACTATATGAAAAGGACTTTTAAGTGCACAGAACTTTATTTTGTCTAGTCTTTAGTTCTTAGTACTTGAAGCAACACTAGAAGAATAGCTTGGGAAAAATGAATTCTTACTGTAACATTTTGTTCAACAGAACACACACTTCTATCACAAGTGTGTCTCTAATCCTGGAAAAGAGTTGGTTTTCATTATATCACTGTTCATCTTCTGGGGGTGAGCTGGATCAACTTGAATACGGAGATCCTAGCCACTCAAATACAGAATTAAATCCTCTTGTAAGAGGACTGTCTAGAGAACTGGAAATCTAAACTGTAGCTCCTTTGAATTCCTTATTGCTGCTTTCATATTCTAACTTCAATTTCTCTCCCTCCCGGTAGCAAAGTGTTTTATACTGAACTTGTTATTGGTATCACTTTCCTATGTATTTAATACATTTGAAACTTATAGGAAATGTAGACCGTCTATTCTGCCTTCACATGTCTAATAACAGAATCAACAAAGTTATTTTAAGCTGAGACAGTTGCTTTTTTACTGAATTCTGGTGCCGTAAACGCAATATTTAATTCCCTTCCTTCTCACTGACCTCCATGTAACGTATCCCCTTTTGATACCCAAATATAATTGGGAATACACCAGAGATTTTCTGTTTCAGTACATAGTGTTGCAGTGTAGTGGTACCTAATCTCTTCAAATGTGAGTTGGAAATTCTCTGCCGCTATCATGGTTGAGTGCTCTATTGAAATGCTTAGTCAGTAGTAGGGAGACTTGAAATCAGATCCTCCTGAAGCAGATTCTCTTGGAAACTATACTAAGGCACATGGAAAATAAGGAGGTGATTGGTGACAACCAACATGGCTTCACTAAAGGTAAATGATGTCTGACAAATTTGGTGGCCTTCTATGACAGGGTTACAGTGTTGGTGGATAAGGCTATCATCTCACTGGACTTGTGCAGGACAGTGTCAAATGATTTGCACAACATCCTTATCTCTAACTTGGAGAGATGTGGATTTGATGGATGGACCTTTAGTGGATGAGTTGGCTGAATGGCTGCAAGCAAAGAGTGGCAGTCAGTGGCTCAATGTCCAAGTGGTGAGCAGTGACAAGTGGCATTCTTCAGGGGTTGTTATTGGGACGAATGTTGTTTAACATCTTTGTTGGCAACATGGACAATGGGATTGAGTGCACCCTTGGCAAGTTTGGCAGTAACACCAAGCTGTGTGGTGCAGTCAACACACTGGAGAGGAGGGATGCCATCCGGAGGGACCTTGATAGGCTTGAGAGTTTGGCCCGTGTAAACCTCATGAAGTTCAACAAGGCCAAGGGCAAGGTCCTGCACATGGGTCGGGGCAATCCCAAGTATAAATACAGGCTGGGGGGAGAATGGCTCGAGAGCAGCCATGATGAGAAGGACTTGGGGTTGTTGGTGGATGAAAAGCTCAATATGAGCTGGCAATGCATGCTCGCAGCCCAGAAAGCCAACCACATCCTGGGCCGCATTAAAAGAAGCGTGGGCAGCAGGTCAAGGGAGGTGATTCTGCCCCTCTGCTCTGGTGAGACCCCACCTACAGTACTGCATCCACCTCTGGGGCCCCCAACATAAGAAGGGTATGGACCTGAGAGAGTTGGGGTTCTTCAGCCTGGAGAAGAGAACACTCCAGGGAGACCTTAGAGCCCCTTCCAGTCCATAAAGGGGCTACAAGAGAGCTGGGGAGGGACTCTTTTTCAGGGACTGTAGCAATAGGACGGGGGGGGTAGCGGTTTTAAACTGAAAGAAGGGAGATTTAGATTTGATATTTGGAAGAAATTCTTTAATGTGAGAGTGGTGAGGCACTGGAACGGGTTGCCCAGAGAAGTTGTGGATGCTCCATCCCTGGAGGTGTTCAAGGCCAGGTTGGATGGGGCTTTGAGCAACCTGGTCTAGTGGAAGGTGTCCCTGGCCATAGCAGGGGGGTTGGAACTAGATGATCTTTAAGAACCCTTCCAACCCAAACCATTCTAGGATTCTATGAAATCGAGGTAGGAAAAACTACAGCTGCTGCAGCTGGATTGATTAATATGCCTGAAATGCAAAGATCTTGTGGGATAATTGGAGCAGGTTGTAAACTGACTTCTAATTTTTTGAAACAATTAAAAATAATTGAGGCTGACAAATCTATTTGGTTTCAGTTGTTTTAAGCCCAAATATGTTGCTTTAAATGTAAATGAAACACTTTTAGAACTGTTTAAAAAAGTAGGTGTACTACAGCGTATGAAAAGTAAGCCATAGTTTTTCTGTGATGGTCTACTGTCCTATTGGTAATCTCAGGATCAGCTTTTTTGTTGGTTAAGCAAATGGAGCTTGTGACTTTCATCTCTCCATATTGCTGTCAGTAAGAAACATGATCTTCCAAGTGTAAAAGACTAAGATCAAGATATCTGTAAAATTCTTAAAGGATAGTTCAGAATAGACTATATTCTTTTCAGTTGATTATTTCTCAGTATAGTAGGATGATAGAATCAAATGCTGAATATAAATAATTTCAATAATGTATTTCACTCAAATCTACCACTAAAGCATGATCAAGCAGGAATCACTAACATTCCTCTTATGTGTATTACACCTTCTTACTATAGTTTGATAGATTTCAAATTTTTCTCCTTGTGGTTTAAATGGAGATCACAGTTACTTTCTGATACTGTAGAAAGCATATCTGATTGTTGAATATAATGTTTTGTGGGGTTTTTAGATGTCACAACACTGGACTTGATCTTTGTGGCTTCTGGCACATACAAGATGGTGCCAACAGCACAGCAAGGGGAAACAATGACACAGACTCTTATTTCTGTATAACCAACTTCTCTATTTTTCCTTCAGGGGAATATGCTAGAGTTGTAGGCAATCAGTTACAAGAACCTGGTCTTGTGGTAGAAATAATATACCTTACATGTATATGTTATTACAAGTCAGATCTCACACGTGTGCTCCAAGAAGTTAAAAATGATGGTCCGTATTCTTCAACAGCCCAGTGTAGCACTTTCGCCTTGCACTGTAATCATGCCTTCATTATTCTGTCAAAAGAAAGTTTAGATTGTTTGAGAGATGTCACTTAAAATAGTCCCCATTCAGAACTCCAGTTTAAATTTCTTTCAACCCATTAAAATTTAAATGATGATTTATTGCACTCTTGGTAACAAAATTTGACCTAGTTAAAATGAGAGTTTGAAATAGTTCACTGAATTAATTTATAATAACTCATAATACATGGTGTGATTAAACATCTGTCCTGGATTGCTGCTACTTAAATGGCATAAAATGCATGTAACAAACTGTCAGATATAATAATTAATGATAGGAAGTTATACAGAAATTGCTTAATTGAAATTTCACTTTCTTACATTGATTCTATGTAAATGAATCAATAAAATCCTACTTAAAGTTTTTAATCTGTATTTGTTTCAGAACTCTTTATTGCAAACTTACACGTTTTGCATCTTTTCTTGTATCACAAATGCAATAGTAAAAAGGCACTTTCTCATGGAGGGAAAGTAACTGCCCTGTTCTCCAGTTTGGTAATATGTATTCTGAAATTAAGAAAAAAAAAAAAAAAAAAACCTGTACCAGTCCTATTATTTCAAGTGTAGGTGTTTGTGAAAGTCTTTGTATGGAATTGAGAATCTTTATCTCAATTTTGGCTTTAGATTATGAATGACCAATAATGTTTTGACAGTGGGAAGAAGGAAAAATTACAACTTTTTGTTTATTTCAAATGAAGTTTGTATACTGGTGCTAAATCAAAACTGACCTATGCAGCTACAGGAGGGCTATACCAGTACTGAACAGAAGGTTTTAAAAATCTCACTTGGTTATATTGCACAAACTCAACAGCCACACTTTTCCATGTTTTTGTAAACGTATGAAATAGATGAAAACAGAAGCTTGATAAAGCCAGCTATCTCTCTTCTCTGTAGTGTGTCATAACATGCGTGTGGAGGAAGCGCTGGCTCTGGTAGTTAAAGCTTTTGGGAATACATTTGCTGGGTGTGAGCAACAGGAGGGTACCAGGATTTCACACAAGCAGCTGATCCGCTGGGTGACTGCCTAGCATGGGAGCTGTGCGAGATGTACAGTGAGCCTCTGGGCGTCGGGTGTATTTCTGTTAAGTGCAGGGAAAGACTTGGATGGGGTGGAGTTGAACTCAGTGAGTGACTATGCAAAGACCAGAAAAGGTATGATTGAAAGTATTACTATTTCTTTCCTACTGAAATGCAACTTCAAACATCTTTTAAATCTGATATAAGCTTGGGTACATTCCACATAATCTGTAAATAAGTGATAGGCACCAGAGATGAAAAGTGCATGTATAAAATGCAAGTGTGTGTATTAATAGGTGTGTGCATCCTAAAGTAGGATGCACATATTCACAGAACTGGACATGCTATAAGGACGTATACACAAGTCCCCTAATGGACATTTGCTCTCAGGTTGTGGTTGCAAAGTGAGTAGTTGATCATCTGCTAATGCTGTTGTGTATTTAAGTTTTAATAACACTGTACACATAAATGCATTTGAGTTAGTAATATCCGTCAGTCCATTAAGCAGAATGCGACTCTTAGTTTAACAGAATTGAGTAATAGAATGGTGTGTGAACTTATTTTAATTACAGAGTTTAAAATCCAGCAGATCATCTCTAAAAGAAAAAAAATAAACACAGCCACATATGTAAATTATAGACTTGGAATATCTGTACCATTTCGATCTTAGGAGCTACACTACAGAAAATTCTTGGATCTCCTTGTGATAAAGGGATAGTGAGATTCTTGCAAGCTTCTACTTGTGCTCTTAATGTCTTTTGAAGAATTGCCTACTGCTTTTGTTCGTTAAATTAAGCCTTGTTGGACACACTCATCGTTGTGTCATGAGGATGCACTGCCACCCGTACATTAAGTAAATCCCCAGTTCTTCCATTGCCAAGCAGGATTGCGCTCTCAGGCCAGTCCTCGCTTCCTCAAGTTAAACCTTCATTTGAGTGATAGACTGACAGGGGCTCTTCTTCCAATGCTATTTCACTTTTGTATTTCAAAATAATTAATTCTGTTTTCATGACTGACTTGGTCACTTGCCACAGTATGTTCACTCATAAAAGTAGAACAAAACATGGTAGATGCTATGTGAACTACAATGAAGTAGATGGGTGGGATGTGTAAAAATCTGAACTTGCAAATATTTGGTGGTGATCAAATAATAGTTGAAAGACTAGAACTCAGCCATGCTATTTTCAGAGCAAACTTTATGTGAAAGAATAGGGGAGTAGGGGAGTATACTATTCTTTATCTAAAAATGAATCCGTTGTAACATTATAAAAGCATAAGAATATAAAGCTCATCTTTCATGTCCTTAGTCTGAAATCAGATTCAACTACTGTCCTTGCATCTGTTTGAAGTTGGTATGGGTTGAGGTGAACACCTGGCTATTTTAGAAAGGCTTTTTTCCTCCCCTGTTGTGAACTTTTCCCATTCTACAAAGCTTTCTTTTTTAGTTACCAAGTTGGTTGCAATTCTTTTGACTTACTGAAGCTCATTGAAAACCAAAAGGGCAGCAAAAACGGCGAGGGCGGTTCAGGTTTTAAACGTGAATATTCTTGGATGCGTAGAATTAGAGTATGGTGCTTTGTTGTAAATTAAATACTGCTTTAATTATTGAAATAAATAGGGAAGTCAGCAAAAATGTTGTGACATCTGGTTAATTGGATTATTTTCTTTTATTAAAGGTAGTGTAAAAAGAAACCACATGTCCTCTCTTGACAGCTGTTGATGTTAGCGCTGAGTCTGATTCCTTGGAATGAATACTAGGCACAAACTGTATCAAAACTAGTGACCTACATTATGGTCATGGATTAAATCCTTGGGTAGAACCAGCCTCAGATGACATCCAGTATGTTTGTCATGACAAAATCACTCAGAAATAAAATCTGGCTTTAACTTTCTGTACCAATTGTGCTTCATTTGTCAGTTTGTTTTAACTTGCTTGTGCAGGTTAACATTAATATCAGGGAGAGTTTTACTTTGTAGTATGCCCCTGCTAAGATTAGTAACGCCGCAGGTCAGTATCTCTGTTGTTAAATACGTAGAGGAAGGTTATATGAGGAAGGTTATACTCGTAGCTCAGTGGTTGTACATCTTTTAAAGTGGGGCACTATGAATGATAAAGGCTGAGGCATTTGTAGCTGTTGTGTGGTGTCACTGCTTTGTGTGCAGTGCTCCTTTCTATGCTGGTTTTCAGATGGGTAACTGGTGTTTGTAGGCACTCCCACTGAAGAGTGTCCCATGCAAACAAAAGCAGGTTTTACTGTTCATTTTAACACAGTTGACAATGAAAAAAACCAACTTAAAAACCATTTCCAAACAGGACTGTCAGATGCAAAGAATAATCTTCCACCTCTTCTTTTAGCACCTGCTAAAGAATTTGGACTTCTGGGATATTCTTGACATAGGTCTGCGAAATGGCCACTGCTTGGAGGGACACCTGGCCTTTGGCCAACACCAGGTGGGAGTGACAAAGCTCGGTAGATGTTTGGTTTCGTAACTGTAAATTACCTCTAGTTAAAACCTTCCCGATGCTGCCAACCACACATCAATTCTAGCAGGGGAACTTTATTTCATTTCAATAATGAAAACAACAGCCATCTTTCTTCAAGCCAGTCTTGGCCTGAAGGATACTCTTTCTATATGGAAATAATTAGATACTGCTTTCTAAAGCATGCAAGTCCAGTGGGCTTCATTGGCTTTTTCGTAATAACCAGGGTACTTACCACATAGATGCCTGTGTGGTTGTTACTGTTGTCATCCAAGCAAAATGAAACGTTATTCACAGTAGAAATACAAGAATGTAATTCATAATTACAGTATTTAGAATTTTCAAAAGACAGAAAAAAAATAGTTATTGCTGTAGATGTAAAATAAAAAATGCACACTTCCTGATTTAAATATTTTTTTATTGGGAGAGAGAAAGAAGGCCTGATTGCTATGACAACTGGAGAAACAAATGAAAGCTGAACTGCAAATAACTAATTTTCTTACATCACCATTTGAGCTTTAAGTTCTCATTTTAAACTCTTCCAGGGTGGAAAAAAACATTTTTGGCATCTCCGTAGTTCTCTGGGAGTAGATTTGAAAAGGTAGATCACAGTCGGTTTAAATGAAGTACTCAATGACTCTAGCTAGGCAGACCTTGAGAGGGAAACACCTCCTGGCCTGTAGGAAGGCTCACTAGCTTTGCTGTAAGGCTTTGCCATTGTTTTGGTTGGCGTGGGGGAAGAGGGGAAGGAAAATAAGACACTGAAAACAATTTTCTCCACTAATTTAAAAGAGGATTAGACCCATGGGGACTGATATCTCTTGCAGGTAATGGTCTCTAGTAATCTAGCTACAGTGCCTGTCGGAGCTGCTTTTTGTCCTTGTGAGATTCTTGGTGTTGGTCAATAATTTGGCTGTTGTGATAGAACAGAGGTTTCAGAGCAGCTGTGGTGACAAGGGGAGGGAGAGGAGGGAAGGGGCTTTGCATTAGCTTGAGCTTGTCCTCAGTAGAAAGCCAGTGCTCAGAGAGCAGACCAGTGATATTTCACATTGATTTGTTTTGCAAGGCAGGCTGATTGTTGCTTTGAGTGTGTTTTTCATCCTTTTTAAAGAGTGAAGCTTTTCCTCCTTGGTAGGAGTTACAGTAATAACCAAGCGTAATGGTTAAATGTGTGAGTAATTGGCCATCCCTGTATTTTGTAGACATACAAAATATAATATATAAAAATATACCGATGTGCTTCTCTAGTGAAATGGAAGTGGATGTTTTAACTGCTTATTAGGCATGCAGTGCTATAGAGTTACCTGAGAGCGCACAGTAGCTGTGAGCTGACGTAATCTGAAAGGTGTTATCAGAACTATAAAAGATTATTGAGGAATCGTGTTTTTTTCAGAACTTTTCCTCTTGGCATGGGTTGATTCTTTCAAGGTTATAAAGAGGAGATAACTTTTTTCTGTTCATTGTAGCTAGAATAATAAGTAATTGCTCTAATTTGTAATAAAGATGATTTAGGTTAGATGTGAGGAGGGGTTGTGTGGCCAATTCATATTGAAACACACTGCTTGGACAGGAGCAAGAATTAGGGAGACACACACCCATCAGTGGTAATTCAGGGATACAGGATTCTGCATCAGATGGTAGGACAGGACATACATTTTCCTTGCATCGATGTTCTGCAGCATAGTATCAGTTGGAGGAGGTGTTAGCTTTGCAGTGGGCTCTTGCCTGAAACCTGATTGAGGTATGCAGGATTCTTAAAAGGAATAGGATATGGGACTATATTTTGCATTGAAGTGAGAAGTTAGATGTTAGATTATTAATTTGAGGACATGGAACAGAAATTTATAGTAAATTATTAGGTTTGATATTAGGTTTCACTTTACTGTATTAGTAAAATGAAAAATTGAGATGGCAATTAGCCATTCACTGATGGAAGAGGGAAAGTGATTTTTTTATATCAGTAGATGTGGGGAGAGTGAGCAGATACAGAAACTACAATTGTCTTACAGTATTTGTTTTATTTTGTCACAGGTATTCACGTTAACCCAGTACAACACCATTGGGGAGCTTAATAAGAAGACACTGCTGACACCATTGGCAATAGTGGAAGTCCTGTAACCACATCTGTGTTGCACCTTCTGTCACACTCTGGCCTGTGAGAACTTCTGAAAAATTTAAGAAGGCTTTTCTATTAAAACAAATGTTCATGAATGTCAGTGTTGTACCTCAGTAATTTTACATTAGAAGCTGCTAAACAGTCACAAAATAAAGTTATGTTTTACACAGTTGTCACCAATTTCACTTTATGGTTGAACTTCATCTGATGATTCAAGTTAGAATGGGTGGGTCTGGTCAGACCTGGGTTTCAGTGCGTGTTGGATGGGATAGATGGAATTTCTCTAAATTCATGGAAAGTCTGTCAGTTGTTTTTGCATTTTACATTATAGAGAGACTGACTTTAGCCAACTTCTTGTTGGTGTTACTTGGTCACCTAATAATTGACAGCTTTGAAACAGTTTTATATTGATCTCTTGTATATTGAATTTGCTTGAGATTTGTTTTTTTACATTTTCAACTGTTTACACTTCTGGTATAAATCGAAGTTATAACAGTGGTAAAATTACAGAAAATATTCAAATAATTGTAGTTAGAAAAGAAGTCAAGTAAGTTAATGTGAGGAGCCACCTTAATCTGTAGTTACATACAAGCCAATCAAATACCAGATTTAAAACAGTATTTTTAACAGCCATTCTACTGAAATATTAAGTCTACTTTTATTTAATACATGCAAATTAAATGGTAGTTGCTCTGCAAAAATAGCAAGGTTAAATTATTGCTTATAGATTGAACATAAAGAAACAATGCCAGAAACACTGATCTTGAAACTTTGTGTGGATTTTTCCACCTTCTGAAAAAGACAATTACTTAGAGAAAATAGTTTAGATGTATAGCAAGCGCACAAAGTTACTGAAAGGAACTTCTGCAATACATTAAATACATCATAGGTATTACTTGCAACCATAATAGGCACAGTACTTTATCAGAAAGGAGTCAAGTTTTTAAATGATTGCAATGTCTTTAAAAATGGGAAGTAGTTTCATTTTATATATTTTTTTGTATGGGTGTATGACAGCTACTTTTCACAATTGCAGGGGGAAATTTATGCTGATAGTGAATAGCGAAGAATTATTATGACTAATACGTGGGCTTATCAGTATATCAGACTAATCAAGTCTTTTTGTTCTTACTTTTGGCCAGACAGGCTCTCTAATGCTTTCACTGTGGATTGTGTAGTGGAGCACTTCGCT